GGCCATCTTGGGCCATCTCAAGGCCTCAACAGCGCATCGGAAGCAACAAGGCGAGAAGTTGAATATCATTGATTTTCATTCTTGGTGTTTGAAGGACTTTGGCCGCTCAGGGGGGGTCCCGAGGGGGCTCCGAGAGCACTTGGAACAGTCTTGTGACCCTCGTCGTGCCTTTTCGGAGGTATGTAGGGAGCTATATCGAACCATCGTCGACAATCTTGGGCCATCTTGAAAGCCATCTCTGGTCATCGGAGGCCCTCTTGGAGCCATCTTGGGCGAAGAAAAGCCCGCTCACGCGTCGCGGCCCGCCCCAAAAAAACTCGGGGAGGGGAGGGGCAGGGTAGCCCCCTCCCCGAAGGGAAGAGGGCTTCGGAAGAGGAAAGAAAGGTATCGCTAGACCACTGTCGCTCTCAAGGCTGGTGGGGTTAGCGGTCCTCATGCTCCGCCTCGTTCTTCCTCTTCCTCCTCCTTCTCCTACTCCTCTTCCTCCTCCTCATCCTCATCCTCATCCTTATCCCTCTCCCCCCCTTCCTCCTCATCATCCCTCTCCCCCTCCTGCTCCGAGGCCTCCTCCGCCGCCTTTCCTCGCCACTCGCCACCTGTCCTGCCCCCCGCATTCTCCACCTCCCTCTCCCTCCTTCCCCATTCCCCTCTTTCGGCCCCCCATCGTCCTCTCTCTCCCTCCCTTCATCCTCGCTTAGCCCTCTCTTCTCACATTCCTCCTCCACTGTTGTTTCGCGTGCGTAACTCATCCCTGTCGCACCCCGAGGCCGGTCCTGGACGCTTAAAATTCGGAACGGCTTCACGGATGGAGGGTGGCTCGTTTTCAAAATGTGATTCTCGCTTTAGCGCCGCGCGCATCCGTTTTGTTATGCAACAGCTATATTGATGGAGGACAGGTCGTTTTCAACATGTGGATCTCGCTTTCGGCACCGCGCACACCCATTCTTAGATCTGCAGCAGGTTACGGATGGAGGGCGGGTCGTTTCCAAAATGCGGTTATTGCTCTAATGTCGCATACCTTCGTCTTAAAAATGCACCAGTTCCATGGATGAAGAGCGGGTCGTTTTCAAAGTGCGGTTCTCGCTGTTAGCGCCGCGCACACTCGTTTTAGAAAATTGCAGTGGAGTCACAGAAGGAGGGCGGGTCGTTTTCAAAATGTGGTTCGCGCCGTAGCGCCGCGCACATTCGTTTCAAGCATCTGTAACAGCTTCACGGGTGGAGGGCGAGTCTTTTTCGAGATGTGGCCTTCGCCTCAGCGCCGCGCATGCTCGTGTTACGACCTCACACACGTGTCAGAGATTGCCATGGCGAACGTCCCAGAAGTTGTGTGCTGACACGATGTCAGAACGTCAAGGCGAAACAGCAAAGGTGTTTCGTGGTGTGGCAGTCCCAGAAAAGGTGTTTTGGCACGAACCAGGACTCTCAAGACGCAACAGTGGAGGTGATTCGCGACGTTGAAGTCACAGGACTGCTTTTTGGCACCATTCCGAATATTCAAATCATTGTTGTTTTCCAACGGGGCATTTCCTTCAATGAAAATGAATCATCCGAGGGGCCTGCACAGACAGAACATGGAGGGAGGATTGATTGTAATATCGTCGATGTGTCTTGGGTTTACATTGGTCTTCCTCCCCCTCCTCCTTCTCCTCATCTTCCTCATCTTCCTCATCCCCCTCATCCTCCTCCTCCTCTTCCTCCTCCTCGTCCTCCTCCTCCTCCTCCTCCTCCTCCTCCTCCTGTTGCCCCCCCCTTTCCCTCGCGAGGCAGTGGGCCAGGGCGCTGGAGCTGCTCCGAGACTCCCTCCAGTCCCGCGCGGGCGTCACCGTGCGCTGCTACGCTGCTGGAATCGGCGCTTGCGGGAAATCCCAGCGGTGGCAGCACGCGATGTCATTGCTGTGCGAGATGCGGGAGACAGAGTTGGAGCCGAACGTCGTCTCTCCCATCCCCCCCCCCGCCTCCTCCTCCTCCTCCTCCCTCCTCCTCCTCCTCCTCCCTCCTCCCTCCCCCCTCCTCCTCCTCCTCCTCCTCCTCCGCCTCCTCCTCCTCCGCCTCCTCCTCCTCCTCCTCCTCCTCCTCCTAGTCCTCCTCGTAGTCCTCCTCGGGGGAGGGGAATAGGCCGAGGGGGGGGGATGCGACGACCCCCAGTCTCACTGCAGCCGGCACGAGGGTCAACAAGGGCGCCCTCGAGGGCGCAAGGGTTCTTCGCGCTTCGCGGTTCGGCTCTGATTCCTCATCCTCTTCTTCTCCCCTGGGAGGCGGCGCGAGAGCGCGATGTGATTCGCGAAGCGCGAGGCGCGCAGTCAGGCGCCCTTGGTCAAGAACAGCCCTAGCTTTGGGGGGCCGTGCGAGAGCGCGAAGTTATTCGCGCTGGACCCCCTGGCTGCGCTTCCGGCACCGCCCATGGCACGCTCCGCGCGCCAGGGGGGGGGGTCCAGCGCGGATCCAGGAAGTCCGCGCGGACCTCCAGGAGTTTGTGTTTATGCCATTGCTTGTTCCTCTCAATGTTCTGGAGCGACCCCCCAACGGTGACTTCGGGTTGGGTTGGTGTGGCTTGGCCAGTGGTCACAACCACCCACTCATCGCCGATGGGGCCCCCGTAGCCCACCCCGCCCAGGACCATGCGAGTCTGCTGCCGAAGGACCGTCGTCGGTCCACCGACGATGCCTGGCCGCTTCCGGCCCGACGTCTCCTGCCCGAGCCGGTCCGCCCTTCCCGTGGCCTGCGAGACGGGGGCCCACAGTCAACCCGCACAGTGAGGACGGACCACTTTCCCCCGTGCATCCTTGCCCATCCTCGGCCCATCCTCGGCCGCTTTTGCTGGCCGCGCCCCGCCCGCGAAGCGTCGACACGGCCGCCCGAGGCCCCTTGCATCCTCGTCGCGCGTCCTTATGATGCGGGTCGATGGTAATGGAGGATGACGATTCATAGATGACCGGGGGTCGTGTTCACGCGGCGGCGCCCGGGATGACGATTGGAAAAAACCGGCCGCGGGCTGGAAAACTATTCTTTTCATCGTTCTCCTCCAGTCAGAAAGCTGCGCAAAAATAGCAGGAAACTATTTGTTCAATCGTTCTCCCCCATTTTTTGAACTAATCGTCATCCCGCGACCTTGCTGGAGCAGCACCGTAGAGTGAGCTCAAAAGGCTATGATCGAGTGAGCGGCCACGGCCGCCCCGCGCAGGCCGCTCGCCGGGCCGCCCCCATTGCGGAGACGGCTCGCGCGTCGTTCGTTCGCTCGCTCGTGCCTGGGCGGGGGTCGAGCAGCGGAGCCTGTGTGTGTCCTGCGCACGCCGGCGGGATGACGACCCCTCCAGCGGACCTCGGCGGTCCACGGGCGCGCCTGATCAAGCTAGGCTTAGGTCGGGCCTGCCCCTCTACAGCAGGAATATTCAAAAATTATCCAAAAATGGTCTGGGACGATTTCTTGAGTACGTTTGAGTATCTTAAAGGCTACCGCCTCTGCCGCCGACCCGAGAATTACGTTACCGAGGAGCACCCCATACTTATTTCATGCCATGCGTGTTCACATACAGTGTCACATCGTGTTTCCTCATCATCCACAGTCCCTCGCACTAGCTGTCATCCAACCCATCACCAGTCAGAACAACAACCCGCGCCAGACGAAGCAAACTGACAAGCCAGACTGACAAGACCAGCCAGATCAGCCAGACCAGCCATATCAGCAATCCCAGCCATACTCAGCCAGGTCAATGAACCAGACCAGCCAGAACAAACATTTGAGTCACACTGACAACCGCAGCCAGAATAAGCCAGACTACCAACCACACCAACCAGATCCGAGGAACCTCACCGCATCCAGCCGCTCCGCCAGGGCCTCCTGTCGCGTGCTGTGCGCGACGCCTCCCGCGCCTCCCAGAGAGTCGATGCCATGATGCTCCGCTGCTGCTCGAAACGTCCATCGCCAGGGGGCGACGTCGCTCACCTCCCCGTAGAACTTGCCGCTAACTCCGCCGAGCACGTCGGGCTGCAATGCGAACAGACGAAGAGTAGGCACATCCACCATGTAAGATCCATCGTTCGTCGAGTACCTGTAAAGCGCCTGCCACAAGGCTGCATCGTCGCCCCGTCTCGAAGGCCAGTACTCCGGATCAGCAGCCCGTTTGGCCGCGAACTCAGTGTACCATTTGACTGCTTTCGCATCCGCTTGCGAGAACAAGTTCCCGAGCTGGGTAGATTCGCGCAGTCCATGCGACCACGGCCCCTGCGACCAACGGTAACTAGTCCGTCTCCGCCGACTCCAGGGACAGTTGAATGCGAGGCGTGCCAGTGGACCTAACAGAAGTAGCCAACAGAAGTGCCGGAGACCGCTGCGGCGTGATGGCGAGCGATAGGGGCACCTTCGCGGGAGTAGCCTGCGCGGGCGTGGCAGCACTCTCGCTTAGGGCGCCCCCAACTCGCCGTACTTTCGCCAGCGGGGTGCCGTCGTCTTCCCCCATCTTTCCAGGCATATCAGAAGAAGCATCACAGGAAAACCCGCCCGACGCAGGGTTCAGCAAGTATGTCACCAGGCACTGCCTTCTCCTGCTATCGTCGTTCGTACCTCGATGCGGCAATTCGTTATACTTAATATAAAGCGTATCGGGCCACCAATTCTTCAGCTGGGGCTGATAGGCATTGAATGCGTTTCCTAGTAGAGCCCCTTCGCAGCCACGCAAGCCTTCGTTACATCGGCGCCCATTTCAGCTAGTGCGTTCTTTAGCTTCACGCACGGAGGCGGCAGCTGACCACTAGCAGTTTTGGGCGGCATTGCTGCTGCGAGCAGGTCGGGCGGCTGTTGCGCGCCAGTGGGAGCACAAGCAGACTTGCGTAGCAGCGCAGTAGTGCCGCGCCGGCTTGAGCCACGATACTTACGGATCAGGGCAGTGCCGTTGATAATCATCGCACCATCCGCACCCCCAGTAGTGTCCAGAAATCGCCACGCTTGCGACAATGCGGCAGTGTCGTGGATAGCGGTCGCGGCCAGTGAACACCCACTGCGCACCCCCTGTGGCGTCGAGAAACTACCACGCCTGGTCGATTTTGCGACAACGTGGTGGGCAGGAGCCAGACCAGAGACCACTCCCAGCGCACCCTCTCCGGTGTCGACAAATTGCCGCGCCTGCTAGGCTTTTCGACATTGTCGTGGATAGCGGCCGCGGTGAGAGACCACCCACTGCGCCCCCCCTCTGGTGTCGTGAAATTGCCGCGCCTGCTACGCTTCTCGACAGCGTCGTGGATAGCGGCCGCGATGAGAGACCTCCCCATGCGCACCCCCTCTGGTGTCGAGAAATTGCCGCGCCTGCCAGGCTTTTCGACAGCGTCGTGGATAGCGGCCGCGCGGTGAGAGACCATTCCCTGCGCATCTCCTCTGGTGTCGAGAAGTCTTTCCGACAGCGTCGTGGATAGCGGCCGCTGTGAGAGACCACCCCCTGCGCGCACCCTCTGGTGTCGGGAAATTGCCGCGCCTGCTAGGCTTGTCGGCCGCGTCGTGGATAGCGGCCGCGGTGAGAGACCACCCCCCGCGCACCCCCTCTGGCGTCGAGAAATTTGCCGCGCCTGCCAGGCTGATCGACAGCCACGGCCGTCATGAAACTCTGTGAGGTGTTGTTGTGGCCTCCTGTGGCCATTTTGGGGGGCTTTTGGGAGCCGTTAGGGACACTGACGGCTCTTTGTTGGGCCGTTTTGGGGCTCTCGTGGGCCGTGCGGAAGTGCTTTGGGCCAGGTAGGGGACCTCATTGAAGCATCTGTGTGGCCTCCCGGGGGGGGGCTCTTGAGCTCATTTGTTGGGCTGGGAAGGCGTCGTCGAGGTCTCTTGGGGCTCTCTGGGACCCTCGGAGGGCTCTTTGGGGAGCCCCTCGGCGGCTCTGAGGCCATATTTTGGGGAAGAGCTCAAAAGGTCAGTTCCGTTGGTCCTTCTTGGGGCCATCTTGGGCCGTTTTGCGGGGCTTCTTGGGTGGTCTTGGGCCGTCTTGGGGCCATCTTGGGGCCCTCTTGGGCCGTTGTGGGGCCCTCATGGGAACCACTTCCGGCGTCTTGGGGCAATCTTGGAGGCCTGTTTGACCGTCTTGCGTGGTCGAGAGGTCGAGAAAGCGAGCACGTTGAAAACCATGAAAAACCATAGGAAACTTACGAATTTTGGCTTCTGGGGCCTGCTTGGGGGGTGACCTATGGGCTCTCGTGGGGCGTCTTGGGGGCCTTTTGGGCCGTCCGGGGACCATCTTGGGCGTGTTGGAGCGGTCTTGGGCCGTTTCGGTGCTCCGCGGGACCGTCCAGGGAGCGATCTTGAGCTCGCCAGGGCGGCTTGGGATGACCGAGAGGGGCCTCCAGAACCGAATACCCGAATTTCCCGCCGATGGGAGCGCCCGGGGCCGAATGTATGTACGGGGGGGTAACCCGCGGTTTTCCGATATAAGAATATTCGAAGAGGAATATATGTGTAAATATACATGTATGTTTGTATACGTGAATATGTATTACGTGCGTACGAACGTACGTATGTCTGTATGTATGTATGCATGCCTGTAGTGTATGTATGTGTATGTATGTATGCTAGCATGCGATCGTACGTCATGTTTTTTTTCAGGGCGCAAGTTGCCGTCCTCATGTTTTCAGGACCGTAGCATATCTGGGAAGCTATCGTGCGGTGGGGGTGCCGGGTTGTCGGTTGGGGGGTCCCAAGAACTGAGCTTTCGTGGGGTGGGTGGGAGTACCGGAACGCGGTGGGGGGCGCGGTGGGAGATGAGGGCAGGTGTCGGACCAGAATCCGTCGTGCGGGAAGTCCCCAGAGCTGAGCTCTCGTGGGGTGGGGGTGCCGGGACGCGGTGGGGGGCGCGGTGGGGGGTGTGGATAGGTTTCGGGTTAGGATTTGGAGTGCGGAGGGTCCGAAGAACTGAGCTCTCGCGAAGTGGGTGTGCCAGGACGCGGTTGGGGGCGGGGTGAGGGGTGTGGGTAAGCATCGGGCCCGAGTTTGTCGCGCGGGGGGTCCCAAGAACGAAGTTCTCGTGGGCCGGAGGTGCCAGAACGCGGTGGGGGACGCGGTGAAGGGTGTGGGTAGGTTTTGAGCTAGAAATTGTTGTGTGTGAGGTCCCAAGAACTGAGCTCCCGTGGGGTGGGGGTGCCAGGACGCCGTGGGGGGCGAGGCGGGGTGTGTGGGTGGGTTTCGGGCGAGAATTTGTCGTGTGGGTGGTCCCCAGAGTTGAGCTCTCGTGGGGCTGGGACGCGGTGGGGGGCGCAGTGGGGGGTGTGGGTAAGTTTCGGGCGACAATTTGTCGTGTGGGTGGCCACGAGATCTGAGCTCTCGTGGGGTGGGAGTGCAAGGACGTGGTAGTGGGCGCGGTGGGAGGTGTGGGTGGTTTGGGGCCAGAATTTGTCGTGTGGGGGGTCCCAAGAACGAAGCTCTCGTGGGGCTGCCGGGACACAGTGGAGAGCGCGGTGAGTGGGAGCGTGGGTAGGTTGCGGGTCAGAATTTGTCATGTCGGGGATCTCAAGGACGGAGCTCTCGTGGGGTGGGGGTGCTGGGGCGCGGTGGGGGAGGCGGTGGGGGGGGTGGGTAGGGTTTGGGCCAGTATTTGTCGTGTGGGGGGTCTGAAGAACTGAGCTTTTGTGGGGTTGGGGTGCCTGGACGCTGTGGGGGGGGAGATCGGGGATGTCGGTCGGCTTCGGGCGAGAATATGTCGTGTGGGGGGCCCAAGACCTGAGCTCTCGTGGGGTGGGGGTGCTGGGGCGCGGTGGGGGGCGCGGTGGGGGGTGTAAGTAGGTTTCGAGCCAGAAATTGTCGTGTGGAGGTTCCGAAGAACTAAGCTATCGTGGGGTGGGGGTGCCGGGTTGTCGTGTGGGGGGGTCCCAAGAACTGAATTCTGGTGGGGTGGGGGTGCCAGGACGCGGCTGGGGGCGCGGTGGGCGGTGTTGGTAGGCTTCGGGCCAAAATTTGTTTGTCGTTTGGGGGGCCCCAAGAATTTAGTTTTGGTGGGGTGAGGAATGTTTTGGGGTATTTGTTTGGTTCGTCCACAATCCGCCTGTAGGGGGGCATGCCCGACCGAAAGCTAGGCTCAGCCAGCGAACAACCACAGGAGAGCAACGCGGAAGGTGCTCAGCTGGACGCTCCACGCTTACGACTAAGACTCACGACCTTTAGCTTCGCGTGAGTTCCGCTCCTGCTCGACATTGTGTACCGTTGCGCTTCCGCGATGCACGTGTAACTACGACAGCGATTGAAGAACGCCTTAAGTTCGAAGCAATTACGCGATTATGTTACGCATGGCAGCCAGCAGTACCGAATCAACAAGGGGATGTGGTGACTGTCATGCAGTGTTCGATCCACGGCACGTGCCTCGTGCGAGGAGCACGTATCAAATTCCAAAGCCTTGTTGCCGTGCACCCATGTCAATCCAGAGGCCCTCCGTCAGCTACAACTGTGCTATCAGCGCGTGCGAGAAGGGCGACCAGTGGCGGCGAGCCTTGTTGTTGTTTGATGAGATGCGGGGTGCGACATTGGAGCCAACCGTTGTGAGCTACAATCTCCAGATCAGCGCCTGCGAGAAAAGCGGGGGGTGGCAGCAGGCACTGTCACTGTTCAGCGAATTAAGAGAAGCGAGGCTGGAGCCGAGTGTGGTCAGCTATGGTGCCGCAACCAGCGCTTGCGAAAAAGGCGAGCAGTGGCAAAGAGCACTGTTGCTGCTTGCAGAGTCGCGGGCAGCGAATGTGGAGACCAACATCCTCTGCTACAACGCTGGGGTGAGCGCGTGCGCAAAAAGTGGGCAGTGGCGGCAGGCGCTGGCGCTGCTGAATCACATCCGCCAGGTAGCACTGGAGGCAGATTTGATCACCTACAACGCCGAGATCAGCGCATGTGAGAAAGGCAGGCAGTGGCAGCGCGCGCTGTCTTTCCTGAGCGAGTCGCGGAGCGTGAAGTTAGAGCCGTCTGTCGTCTCTTTCTACACTGTTGGGCCGTGCACGTGCGAGAGCAGGAGAAGGAGCAGGAGGGAGGAGGAGGAGGAGAAGGAGGGAAGAGCAGGAGGAAGAGGATGAGGAGGAGTAGGAGAAGAAGAAGAGAAAAGTAGAGAGGAGGAGGAGGAGGAGGAGGAGGAGGAGGAGGAGGAGGAGGAGAGAGAAGGAGAGAGGAGGAGGAGGAGGAGGAGGAGGAGGAGGAGGAGGAGGAGGAGGAGGAGGAGGAAGACGGGGGTTGAGCACCCAGGGGCCGCTGCTGGCTGTCCTTCCAGGGACCTTGCTGTCCCAAAGGCGCGTCAGACCTCGCACTCCACGGAGGAGCAGCTGGAAAGGGACCCAAAGGGAGGGGGAGAAGGAGGAGGAGAGGGAGGAGAAGGAGGAGAAGGAGGAGAAGGAGAAGGAGGAGGAGGAGGAGGAGGAGGAGGAGGAGAAGGAGGATCGAGGAGCGTCGAAGAGGAGGACCTATCACGGTGTGACAGGCGCGGGAGAGACCCGCGCGCGCCGTGGGAGGAGAAGGAGGATCGAGGAGCATCGACGAGGAGGACCGAGGAGGAGGATCGGGGAGAGGAAGGAGGAGGAGGAGGAGGAGGAGGAGGAGGAGGAGGATCGGGGAGAGGATCGAGGAGGAGGATCGAGGAGGACCCAGGATCAAGGATCGCCGCTGGAAGGAGGAGGAGCTGGAGGAGGACTCCAACGGGCGCTCTCTGGGCACCACTGGGCGCACACGTTCGTGGCACTGGCACTGCGCAACGGGCCGCCATGGCACGGGAGAGAGATCCAAGGCGAGATGGTGCCGGATCTGGTTCGGTGCGGGTTCCGCCTGGAGAGCGTGGGCTGGCCCGTGGAACGACGGCCCGTTGTGACGATCCCGCGTCCGGGGACCGAAAAGCCTCGGCCCATGAGCGAACAGCTCACATTGCACGGTGAAGCTTTCGGCCTTCGCCGTGGACGCCGGCCCACGGGTCAGCCCCAGTCACAGGCTCCGCGCAAGAGCGCCCTTTCGCCAGAGAGACATGTCCTGTGGGCGCCCAAGGGTCCCACCAGCAATGGCTGGCGCACTTGGATTGCTTGAACTTGGCCTCCCCCGCGGCCCCCACTCACCGCGCACCAGAAGTCACTCTTGGCCAGGGTCGCTCTGGCGTGCAGCCGAGGTCAGCTACAGTGCTGGAGTCCTTGCGTGCGGGAAGTGCGACCAGTGGGAGCAGGCGCTGTCGCTGCTGCTCGAATCGCGGAGGGCGCAGCTTGAGCAGGACATCCTCAGCCTCGCCGCTGGGCTCTCCGTGTGCGCGGGCAGCGGGCAGTGGCAGCAGGGCCTTCTGCTGCTGTACGAGGTTTGGGAAGCCAGGATTCTAGGCCTCCCAAATGGGGTCCGAGTAGATGGGGTCGACGGATCGCTCCGCATCGCCCCTGCATCGTCGATGCGGCTCGATGTGGATCCCGTTTTAATTCTTCACGCTTCACGAATCCCCACCAGGTATTAGTAGGCCCGCGCTGCTTGCGCTCTCGCCGCTTGCACTCTCGCCTGCGGCCGCGACCAAAAAAGTATCCCCACCAGCAGCCCTGCCCATGAGAGCTGAAGTGAAAAGGGACGAAGAGACACATCTAGGGAAACAAAGCGAGCAACCAGGGTGAACCGAGAGATCTCTGGGAGCAAGGGGGTGGTCTTGGAAGGGCTCTTCGGGCCATCCCTGGGGGCCGCGTGGGGGCGAGGGGAAGAGGAGGAGGAGCAGGAGGAGGTTGCGGACGAGGAGGACGAGGACGCGGATGAGGACGAGGACGAGGAGGACGAGGACTAGGATGAGGACGACGCAGACGAGGACTCATGGAACCATCTAGAGGTATTCTTGCGGCTGCTGCTGCTGCTGTTGCTTCTGCTGCCGCTGCTGCTGCTGGTGCTCTCTGGGAGTTTGGGGGGCCCTCTTGGAACCCTCTTGGGATCATCTTGGAGGCCATCGATTACATGATGGGGGGTGTCCCCAACTCAGCTCCCCCCTCAAGAGCCCGCAAACCGCTTCTTGGGGCTCTCTTGGAGCGCTCTTGGGCGTTCTTGGAGCGGTCTTGGGGCCGTTTGGCGCATCTTGGGAACCATCTTGAGCCAGCTTGGACTATCTGAGCCATCTTGGAGGTCATCTTGGGCTCTCTGAGGCCGCTCGGGGGCCTCTTGGGGGCCTCTCGGGTGCCTCTTGGAGGCCTCTTGGGGCTTCTTGGGGCGCTCTTTGGGCCCTCTTGGAGCTCTCTTGGGAACCCTGGAGGCCCTCTTGGGGCCATCTTGGAGGCTATCGATCAAAAGAGGGGGGTCCCTTATCGAGGTGCCCCCCTCGGGGACCACGATCCTCGTGAATGGTGGCAAGAATTGGCCCTCCCAGGGGCCAAAAAAGGACCCTCTGACACATCGCGGGGCGCCCCGTCCAGGTCCAGGGGAAGGGGTAGGGGGAGGGGTAAACCCCTCCCCGAAGGGGAAGAAGGGATTGTGGAAGAGGAAAGAAAGACATCGTTTGACCGCCTGTCGCCCAGAGTGCTGGTGGGATTCACGTCGACGTCGCCGATTCATCGCCGACGTCGACGATGCATCGGCGATGCACAGGCGATGAAGAGGGGTCCGTCGACCCCGTGTACTCGGACCAGATGTGGGATGCCTCTAAGGATGGAGGTGGACACTCACTGCCAAAGTGCGATCAGTGCCTGCCAGACAGAAGGGAAGTGGCAGTTGGCACTGTCATTGCTGAGCGAATCGCAGAGAGCGGTGTTGGAGCTGGATGCCATGGCCTACAACGCTGCCGTTGGGGTGTGCGGGAGCGGCGGGCAGTGGCAGAAGGCGTTGTCACTGTTGCGGGAGCTGCACGGCACACGAGTAGAATTAGACTGCATCAACTACAATTTTGGAATGAACGCGTGTGAGGTGTGCGGGCAGTGGCAGCGGGCGCTGTCTCTGCTGCATGAGGCATGCGAGGCGAAGATCGAGCCGGACGGGAGGAACCACGGGACCGCCATCACCACGTGCGAGAAGGCCGGAGAGTGGCAGCAGGTGCTGCTGCTGCTGGGCGACCTCTGCGCGCTGCGGGTGGAGCCGAGCGCCACCGACTACAACGCCGCCGCCGGCACGTGCGAGCGGACGGGTGCCGCTTGCTGCCTCGGCAGGTGGGAACTGAGAGGAGTTCGGCCCGCTCCTCCTGGCGGCGCGCACGGGTGGGGTAGGAGGAGGGAGGAGGGCTTCGTAGAGAGAGGCTGCTTCTTGGAAGACGCGGGCCTCGTCTGTACATGTGAGGCCCGCGCCTAGGCAGCCTCCTTCCAAGAAGATTTCCCGCCTCCCCCCTCCCCCTGTCCCCATCCTTCCCCCTTCCCCGCTCCCCTGGTCCCCCTGACCCCCTCCCCCCTTCCCCCGTCCTTCTGAAAAGCCTCCTCCTAAGAGGCCTACCCCCCTCCCACTGCCCCCCCTGGTGCGCGCCGCCAGTCCTCGGTGGTGCTGCGCAGGCTGGTGCTGGGCACCAGAGCAGGAGGCCTTGCGCCGGATCAGGAGCCGCCGGATAAGCAGGCGGCAGGTCGTCGTTGATGAT